AGTTTACACACTAAACATCTAAAGGTTACCCTCAACACTTGGATATGACACGCAATAAATGAGCGTAAACCCTAAACCTTTGAGTGTTCTTCAAAATTGAGTATATAAACTTAACAGTTATTTGAGTTTTAATTTCCCTGATTAAAATAAATGCCAAAATACTGAATGTAGATGCCCGCAAATATTTGAGTACTTAAAAATAATGGCGTTTGCAATTTAAAATTTGTTTTGAAATTTTAATTTGTTTTAAAATTTTTATTTGTTTTTATTTGTTTTGAAATTTTAATATTTATTTCTATTCCTATAATAATACTTCCTCCATTGTACGTAGGGTCTAAGAGTGAAATCACACGGTGCGGAAAAGAAAATATATCAACCAATCAGCTTTATTCTGCGTTATTCCGAATAGCGCTAATTGGTTGTTTCAATGAGCGCATTCAGCGGACTCAACAGTTGAGTGCAAGTGCCATGCTCGCTGTTATTAGTGTATTCTTTTAGCTTATCCAATCAAAATTTTAGATCTAGAAGAATATACCAATAACAGCGAGTGCTCACTCAACTGTTGAGTCCGCTGAATGACGCATTCTTTGTTCCGCAATCATTTTCCGCACCGTGTGATTTCATCCTGACACTAAAGTTAACTATCAAGTTGAGATTAACACTCAACATCCAAGTTATCAATAACACTCAAGTTGAGAGTTATACTCAGGTTGAGCGTCCAAAATAATCATTAATTGAGTGCTACCTTGAGTGTATTTTTTCAGTGTTTTTTAAAGTGTAAACATTCAAATTTTAAAAGTTTTTTCCGTAATGGCATTCCACACAAACTTGCAGAGCCACATAACCATATGCATAAAGAAAATTATCTAATCACATTTCTGTTATAAAGACAAACGTAAACTACGATTGGATGATTTTCTTTATGCATATGTTATGCGATTATGCAAGTTTGTGTGGAATGGTCCTTAGTGGCACGAGATATTTTAACGGTGCCAGTTCAGTGCACTGGATACATAAGGTTTGTTTTTTTTCTCTGCACTAGTGTGCACGGGTGGCACCCAGTTGGACACGGCTCAATTGGACACGAGCCACTCACAGCGCTTGAGACTATAAAGCTCCTAAGCACTGGTCGCTGTGATTGGTGATGTCCAATCGAGACGTGGTCAATCGGGATCACCCCGCACAAGTGTGCACTAGTGCTGCACTGAACTAGCACTAAATCGGACTGCACTGATAGAAAATTGTATTAGTGCAAGATATAAAAGAACGTACCAGTACAGTAACTAATATAGCGTATCACGTAATGGATCGTGATATTTCTTATATGTTTGAATTATTTGATTCTTCGGACGAAGAACACGTAATTGTACTACCACTATTAGAACCACCAATAATAGTTGAAAATAACGATGGTAATATATAATTTAATGACAAACTTATTATTAAAGACTTATCATAAATAATAAATGATTATTACTTATAATATATATTATAAGTAAATATTATGATAATATTATAGTAAATATTATGATTATGACTTATAATAAATGATTTATTATTTGTATGATTTCCTAAATGGATAGGGCAAAACAGCATACAAAATATTTACATGCGGCGCCAAAATCCGGACAAATATCAAGTTGAAATTCCCTCCGTTCAATACCATTGGTAGATGTCGCGATTGGCATTCAAATAGCTTGACACATGTACTAAACCATTATAACCTCGAAACAGTCACAATGTTGAAACCAAGTGCGGAGTATAACCGAAGAGCCGCGATTATCGAAAGTATTCGCGCCGGGCGCTCGGCGACAGAAATCATTCGGTTCTTCGGGTATCCGACATCGACTGTGTATGATGTCATCGCAAAGTACCATGAGTCGGAGAAGTCCAACGAAGGTTCTGCAACATCGGCGAGGAAATTCCACTCGAAGGGGCGCGTTGTCAGGACGCCCAACATCATTCAATGGGCTCAGGAGTTGATTTTTGAGGATCCAGGGCAGTCGATCCGAAAATTGTCGTCGGTTGTCGGTTGTGGATGGAAACTGTGTCGTTTGGAAAGCCATATGTTTTCCAGCAGGACGGTGCGCCCGCCCACACAAGTCATTTGATGCAAAATTGGTTGTCGGACAACGTCGACATGTTTTGGTCAAAAGAATTCTGG